CAAGTTTAGCATTTGCTGATGCGTGGTTCTATCGATACGGTATCGTCTCTTCTTTCTTCAGATTTATTTCTCTAATAGCGCGTTGCATAGTTGTAACTGCATAATTTGTGCTGCATTGCCACAGTTTCTTAGCCTAAAGGCGGTCGGTGCCGTTTAAGCTCAGCCGGATAAGTATGACAGCTTGCCTTCTTAGTATTTAGTCCCCCTTCTCAGTATTTCATGCATCAGAGTTTGCGGAATAAAATGTTGTCACTAAAAAAACATTTAGAGCAACTCTGTCTGAAACACCGCACACATGAAGGTCGTACCGCTGACCTCATCCTCGGTAACATTTGGCGCATATCGGATGCCGCCCTTTGTTGGTGTTTTATGCTCGCTGTGCTGTGCTCTCCAGGCCTCGATAATTTCATACTCGCCACTTTCCCGACGTATCGGGAATGTGACGTGCACTATCTAAACAAAATTTCGTATCTATTACATGCCCACAGGAAACGTAGTAAGTACAGTATAGATTTAAAATTCAAAAATTGGTTTGAAAAAAATGTGCAGTTTGAAAAGTAAAAAAAAGTTATTGGTGACGCGCACCGGGTGGGCCCCGTGCGATCATGCGTTTTTGCAGTGCTTCGTGCTGTAATAAGGTCGCTTGGAAACCCAGTAGCTAGAAATGTGTGATATACTGGTCCTCGAATGTCGGGAATTTAATTGTCTACACTGTATCTGGACAGGGAGCATTCACCGAAAATTTCAGCTCCCCGGCCTTTTTCCCGCCAAAAATCTTCACTGGGCCATACGTGAAAACCACGCATGCCCGAAGGTTGAATTTGATAGATTTAAATTATACATGGGCTGGCAACATTTTCTGAAAATTTCAGCTTTCCAGCTTCCCCAGCTTCCCAAATCAACAATTTTCGCGCCAGGAACCCTCACGGGGCCGTACACGGAGATCTTGCATACCGAGGACTGAATTTAAAATCTTTGAGCTTCAGGTGGACGGGGGACATAACCCTATAATTTCAGCTTTCCAGCTTTTCCGGTCCTTGAGTGAGCGATTTTCCCGCCAAAACTTTCATCCTATCGTACACTGGGCCCAGACTTGCACAGGAGTTGGTGCCGCGGTCCTGGCCGGGGAACCCGTAGGCAAAATTTTGGCGCCGGAGGCTGCTTGGGTACCGAGTTGAAATACCTGGACAGGTGCACATGCACACAAGTACACACATACACACACACGCACACCATGGGTCGTCAAAATATGCGTTTTCGCATTTGCATATGTGCAAAAACGCATAATAAATAGCAACGCGCACAGGGACAGCCGATGCAATCATGCGTTTTGTGCGATCCAGTCCATCAAATGAACCGAGGCTAGAACGC